TTCTTATGCAAGCTAATATTTAATAGCTACTAAGCTAGACTCTGGAAGAACAAATATATCTTTCTGAGCATTCCAATCACTTTGCTGTTAAAGATTTTTTTTAATGCTTTACTTTTTTTTTTTTTTAAGAGAGAGAGAGACCATGCATGTGGGAAAGGGGCAGAGAGAGAGGGAGACACAAAATCAGAAGAAAGTTCCAGGCTTTGAGCTGTCAGCACAGAGCCAGATGCAGGGCTCACACTCATGAACTGTGAGACCTGAGCCGAAGTCAGAGGCTTAACCCACTGAGCCACCCAGGCGCCCCTACCACTTTGCTGTTAAGACAAAATTTTGAATTCAATAGATCTGGGATGGGGTCCAAGACATTTTATGTCCATGCTGCTGCCACCACAACACACTTTGAGAACCACAGCTTTTTTTTTTTTTTTTTTTTAAAGATTTTAACTAATCTCTACAACCAACGTGGGGCTTGAACTTACAACCTCCGAGATCAAGAGTTACATGCTCCACTGACTGAGCCAGCCAGGTGCCCTGAGAACCACAGTTTTGACAGCTGTCAAATTCCCCCCAGGGAATGGCGTGGGTGGGGAATTCTAAACCACTTCTATTCAGCTGCAAGGCTTATTTCCTTCTTTTTTAATATTGGGCTCCTATACACTTAAGTTAATACACATATTTGTGGCTGTCAATACATGTTAAATCTTATAGCACTGGGCACGGTATTTTTAGATGGCCAATAAATATTTACTGGGTTTGAATATAGAGCCTGTTTGATCAGACCAGTGTGGAATTTCCAGAGTTTCATAAAATTCTTAATATTAAGGATTGCACCATTAAGTCAACATTCAGAAAATACTTCCTTGCACGTGCTATGTACCAGGCACTGTGCTAGGCCTGGGAATCCAGAGGCGGCCCCAGATGTGGATCCAGCATGAACAATACAATATGATCTGCTACATTCTGAGATGGAGTTAAGAAGGGAAGCCTTGCAGGGAAGGGCTGAGGGCCAGCTTCACAGACGAGGAAAGCTGCAGAAGCTGGTTACCCACTGCAGGCCACTGAAATCCATCCAGAACTCTGGCAGACAGAGGCCTAAAGCCTTCCCAACGTGCACATGTAGGGAGCTGCAGGCTGACCCCGAATCCCCTCAGGCTACTCCTGACTTACTGGGCCCTTGCTCACCTGCAGTAGGGTAAGCATGTGGGCACTGGTTTGTCACTTCTGCTCTCTGGTGCTCTCCGTCGGCTCTGGGGTCAGAGAGAGGATTAGCCAGGGAAACACCAGGCAGCAAATCTTAGCCCAGGAGGCAGGCAGAGGGGTGCTCTGAACTTTTCCTGGCTTCCAGCCTATATTCTCTCTTCTTTCCTGTCTCTCTTCATTTGGGGGACCCTCCCTCCCCCCCTCCCCCCCCCCACCCTTCTCCCTACCAGCCAAGCTCTTTTTATTTTTTACACTTGGTTGAAACTGTTCGGATATCTTTTTTTTTTTTTAATGTTTTATTTATTTCTAGGAGAGAGAGAGAGAGAGAGAGACAGTGTGAGCAGGGGAGGGTCAGAGAGAGAGGGAGACACAGACTCTGAAACAGGCTCCAGGCTCTGAGCTGGCAGTCAGCACAGAGCCCGACGCAGGGCTCGAACCCACAAACTGCGAGATCATGACCTAAGCGAAAGTCAGACGCTTAACCGACTAAGCCACCCAGGCGCCCGAAACTGTTCGAATATCTTAATGGCTTTTGTTTCCAAGAGCGGGTGCCAGGCCTCTGATACCTGCAGGTGGTCAGTGGCAGCTGCTGGTGCTGGGGGTGGGGGACTCCCTGTGCTGAGAATGCAGGTTCAGCCCAGAGGAGTTAAGAGCATGGTCTTTAAGTAGGAGCCACACAGCTCAGCCCTCTGACTCGGGGCAAGTTACTTACTTTTCTCCAGGCTGCAGTTTCCAGTCTGTAAAATGGGTATTATAATAACAGGGCCTTCCGCATAGGATTGCTGTGGGGACAAGATAATATATGTTTCAAAAGCACTTAGTAAAATAAATAAATAAATAAATAAATAAATAAATAAATAAATAAAAAAGCACTTAGTGCTATGCCTGGCCTATAATAAGCACTCAGTAGAAGTCAGTATCAATATTATTAAGATGATGAGGGGCGCCTGGGTGGATGACTCAGTTGGTTGAGCGTCTGACTTTTCAGCTCAGGTCATGATCTCACGGTTCATAAGTTCGAGCTCCACATTGGGCTCTGTGTTGACAGCTCAGAGCCTGGAGCCTGCTTCAGATTCCGTGTCTTCTTTCTCTGCTCCTGCCCTGCTCGAACTCCCCTCTGGGAGGCAGCCCTGAGGATCCGTGGGAAGGGAAGAACTCCTTGGATGGGCCATCTCCATCCTTCTGTGGAGGTGAGGGGTGCTCGGGACTTGCCCATCTACTTCCTTCTGATTGTGGTTTATGGGCTCCTTGGGGAGCCCATATGGGGGAGGGGAAGCCTGCTGGTGGTCATAGTCAGACTGAGGTTATCCTTGAGATAACCAGGTGCAGTATTTCTTGAGGCCCCCTCTTTACTGGACTCCATGCCACTGAGTCCTCTGAGACTGGTATCCTACTTTGCAGGTGGAGGACTCAAATATCAGATAAGTTTTAATCCAAAACTTGTGCTCATTACCATTACACTACTGTGTCCTACACTCAGAGCCAGCTTCATGGACAGGGGCCCCAGGCACCCCATGCTTAGAAGGGCCCCCAGCTCAGTTAATGCTCTGCTGTCACCATCTCCAAATCTGCAATGATTTTGAACAAGAAGCCCCAGTTTTCATTTTGTACAGGGCCCTGCAAAGTACGTAACTGGTCCTGCCCACCTTCTTTTGTAGCGAGGATGTCTTCTTTGCAAAGAAAAGGGAATTGAAGTCTAGAGAAAATATGACTGGCACAAGGTCATGTAGCAGGTTGGTAGAGGAATTAGAACCAGGTCTCCTGACTCCCTGTCTGGTGGAATTCTCTGGAAGTGCTCATATGTCCAACCATGCCCTGGGCAGGGACAGTTTCAAAAAAGGACACTGTCTGGGGGTAGGGTGGGGGAGGGCTCCCATCCACCATATCACCTCTCCCACCTGGCCCTCCTAGACTGAAATTTCCACCTGCTGCCTCCTGACCTGCCTACCTTTGACCCTAGGGGCCAGGCTTTTCCGAAGGGCTGGGCAAGGCCCTGAGCAGGGCAGTGACTCTTTTCTCTCTAGAGAAGCACTGAGGGGCTAAGGGACATGGATAGGGGTAGCAGCAGAGGTGGCCAAGAATGTGACACTCGAGCCAGATTCTCTGGGTTTTGACCTGATGACCTCTAGCCCTGAAACGACCCATTGAGACTGACATCCTGTTAGCTGAGCTGGAATCTACTGGCCACAATTAGACATCTGTGGCCTATGTTCTGTGTAGAATCTTGCTGGAGGCATGCATTTCTGTGTGATTGTGTATGTGTGTGTGTGTGTGTGTGTGTGTATGTTGTGGGGATGATGGGAAACAGACTGAGAAAACATCCATTCATTCACTTTGTAATTTCACAGATACTGCAGATTTGGGGACTAGAGCCCCAGAAACACAAACATCCTTAGGATGCTTATAGTCTAGTGAGCAAGACACACAATAAAACAAAATCACAGAAAAATATATAATTCATTTCCTAGTGCCCTGTTTTCTCCACGGAGCAATTAATAGTTTGAAATAATGGGATTATTGGTATGCTTTTTGGTGCAAAGGATGTGAACCCTATACCCATCCCAGCTGGATGCCACAGCAAGCTTTGCATTTTGGAGGCTTTTGGATTGTGACTGGGAATGACATTGACTTGCTGAACTCACTTGTGGATGCCTGAAATTCCACTGAGGGTCCTTTTCTAGGATTAAACATTATTATTTTTCTGAGACTCTATTTAAAATTCAGATCTCTGGGGGGAGGGGGACGCCTGGGTGGCTCAGTCCGTTAAGTGTCTGACTTCCACTCAGTCATGATCTCATGGTCCGTGAGTTTGAGTCCCACGTTGGGCTCTGTGCTCGGAGCCTTAGATCCTACTTTGGATTTTGTGTGTGTGTCTCCCTCTCTGCCCCTCCACTGCTCACTCTCTGTCTCTCAAAAATAAACATTGAAAAAATTTTTTAATTCAAATCCCTGGGAATGGGGTGGGGGTGGGGGTGGGTGCATTCACTGAGTTCATAACATGGCAATGCTGTGTCATGAGACAGAGCAGCCCAAGGACCCTGAACACCAAAAGATGCCCCTGATGGGTACCACAAGGGGACCCAGGGTGTCACAAGCTCAGTCCAGCTCCGCTTTCTGAAGGGGGAGCCAAAGGGAGATAGAGGGAGAGGAAGGCGCAATCAAAACGCAAACCCAGAGTCCCAGGCAGGCTCACTCTGGTAGGGGAAAAGCCAGACGCTTCAGGTCTCTCTTACCTGCTGTATCAGATCCGTCCCTCCTTTATTGGCCCCATGGGGACAGTCATGCTTTGCTAAAGGACAGCTCTATGGCTGTACAAGCCTTGACTAGAATTTTCAAGGTTCTTGAAACACGCTCAACTACCACGGGGACCCTTCCGTGTACCTATCAGTACTCCTGCCCAGAGGCCAAATTTGGCACTGTATTTGGGGTCTGCGGGTCGAACGTTCCATTCAGCCTGGTCACCTGAGAGAGGCCCCGGTGTGAGGCAGGGCAAGTTCTCCCTGGCGGCTGGAGCACTGCCCCAGGCGTGGCCGCTGCCCAGTCCGGTCCCCTCGTACAAGAATCTGCATGCTTCCTCGCTTCCTTCCTCTCGGTTCCTCCCTCGCCAACCTACCTGGAGGCAGGTAATAAAGCAGGAGGAGGGAGATGAATGGATGGGGAGGGTGGAGAGCCACGTGGTGCCATAAAGCCCAGCTAGAGAAGGCCCGTCCGGGAGGGTCCGGCCTGCAGGAGTCACCGCTCGGAAGGTGGACGGTCAGCCACGCGAGCCGGGGCCGGGGCAGCAAGGCCCGGGGAAGGCCATGCACCGCGGCGTGCCGGGCCCAGGCCTCAGAGGCCTGAAGGGGGCCGAGGGCCCCGCCGAGGACTTGGGGGCCTCTTGCCGGGAGGCCGGGAGGGATTTTGGGGTGCTGAGGGAGAACGGCGAGGCCGAGGAGGCGGCGAGCGGCAGGAAACGCGCCCGGCCGGTGCGCTCCAAGGCGCGGCGCATGGCGGCCAACGTGCGGGAGCGCAAGCGCATCCTGGACTACAACGAGGCCTTCAACGCGCTGCGCAGGGCGCTGCGCCACGACCTGGGCGGCAAGAGGCTCTCCAAGATCGCCACGCTGCGCAGGGCCATCCACCGCATCGCGGCGCTCTCCCTGGTCCTGCGCGCCAGCCCCGCGCCCCGCTGGCCCTGCGGGCACCTGGAGTGCCACGGCCAGGCCGCGCGCGCCGGGGGCGCCGGGGACGCGGGCTCCAGCCCGCCGCCGCCCGCCCCGCCGCCCGCCGGCCCCTTCGCGCCGCGCTGCGCCTCGTGCTCCCCGCACACGCACCCGGGACGGCCCCGGGCGGGGGCCGAGGCTCAGGGCGCGGCCCAGTCGTCCGCGGGAAGCTGGCGCCGCGGTCCCGGGGCTCCCTTCGCCTGGCCCCGGGGCCACCCGCGAGCGGGCCCCGGGTCGGGCTTCCAGCACGCCTGACTGGCTCCGGGGCGACCCGGTGGGCCTGGGGGGAGGCCGGCCAGGGAGGAGCCAACGGAGGATGACGACCGCAGGGAAGACTGCAAAAATCCGTCCTGGACCAAGAAAAACTGAATGGCTGAGGCCCGAGAGAGGGGGGGAGCAGCCTTGCCAGTAGGAAGGAACGGAGGCCAGGCTGCACTCCCCAGCCCCCCTCCTCAGCCCGAAGCCCCACCAGGGCTGGCAGCTCCGTGAAAGGAGCGGGATCCTGCTGGGCTCTTTGGACTTGATGAACTCTTCTCAGAAAGGGATCTTTGCATTCCTGTGCCTCTGAGTCCTATCTTTTCTTGCTGCTTTTGAGGAGAAAGAGGGCTTTTGGACAGGGGGGCTTGTAGGTGGGAGTATGGGTGACACCTGCTGTGGTTTGATGACAGTGTGGGGTCCGTGTCCCCAGCCTGTGCTGATACCCCAAGTCTGTGATCTGAGAGAGGCAACAGCAGGAGCCAAATAAAAAGGAAAAGCTATCATCTCCGTCTGCTCTCAGGTGTCCCCGGGCCCGGTGGCCCAGGCTGGCAGGAAGGCCTGAGGTCTGGGAGCTCACTGTGGAATGTGGGTCTCCCAGGGCCTAATTCCCACAGGTAGGTATCTGGGGCGTTGATTCATGGCAGGCCCCCAGGTGTGGCTGAGCACTGGGAGGAGCACTGGGGGAGAGGATGTTATTTGGAGAAGGCGAGCGGCACCAGGAGACTCGGGATGCAGTCAGTCAGCCGTATCTCTGGGACCCGCCACCCCGCCGAGCTGCTGTCTGCAGTGAGCCACTGTGAGGGCTGCAGTGGTCGAAGAGTCTGGGCCAGGCTCAGGAAAGGAAGCCTATGGCAGACCCGGGCCTGGGGGTGGGCGAGTCCTGCCTGTACCCTGAGTGTGGGTGAACGGAGCTCCCAGGGAAAAGTGGTCCAGTGCAGCCAGGGCATCTGTGATGAGAGGCAGACACAGGATCAGAGAAGATTATGGGGAGGAGGTTAAGGGAATTAGGGCCTCGGGCCAAGTCTGCTGAGAAAGTGGGAGGCACAACCAGCCCTCCCAGAGAAGTCTGGAGAGCTTTTGCATCTAAGACGAGCACTCCCGGGCTAGTGTCTGGCCTCACTCCTGCTGACCGGGCTGACGCTGCAGCTGCTGCAGGCTGGGGTGAGAACCCAGATGTGCTGAAGGAGGGCTGAGGGCTCTCTGGTCTCCTTGGAGAGCTGGACGCTTGCCGGCTTGGAGAGGAAGAGTTACACAGCTCGGAATGGGGGGGGGGGGTTTAACGGAAGCTGGACAGAAGCCTATTGACCCAAGGATAAGGGAGGGGTCCTCAAAACAGTCAAGATGAGGCTCACCGCCATAATTAAAGATATCTTTGCTTTCTGCAAGCGAGACATTCGCTGACTGGCGCACTTGCCATCTTGTCCCCGGCCCACAGGTATTAGGGCTTCCAATTTCACAGGGCAGGTGGCTGCCGCACAGATCGCACAGATCGCAGGAAAGCTTTCCTCTGGGCAGAGGACACCTGGGGTCCAGGAACAAAATGTGGGAATCTGGCCCCAGACGCGCCCACTGAGCCTTCCATCTCATGGAGAAGGCAGTGCCACCGTCTGGTAGTGGAAAGGAAATGGCTAGACAGGCCTGGGATCCAGTCTCTGCTCTGCCACTTACTACGTGTGTGACCCATGGCATCACTTGATCTCTCTAAGCCTCTAGTTCCTCACCTCTGACACAGATGATTCCACCTCAGGGTGACTGTGAGGGTTACCATCTGTTCATAATGCAGTTTCTGGTAATTAGAAGGCGTTCCATAGACTGTTACTGTTTGTATACTATTATAATCTCAGACCAGGTTGGACAGTGCTTCTGCCTACCTTCAGCCCAGTTTTTATGCCCTGGAAACATGATAAAATGACCAGCAAGTCCTGTTTGTTTGTTTTTTTAAATTTTATTTTTTGAAATGTTCTATTTATTTCTGAGAGAGAGAGCATGGGCAGGGGAGGGACAGAGAGAGAGGGAGACACAGAATCCTAAACAGGCTCTAGGCTCTGAGCTGGCTGTCAGCACAGAGCCCGATGCAGGGCTCGAACCCATGAACCATGAGATCATGACCTGAGCTGAAGTGGGACGCTTAACTGACTGAACCACCCACGTGCCCCCCTTTTTTTTAGTTTTAAAAAATGTTTTATTTATTTCAGAGTGAGAGAGAGAGGGAAGGAGAGAGAGAGAGAGAGAGAGAGAGAGAAGTCCTGTTTTCTTAAGCTGCAGAACAGAGAGAGCTCAGAGTTCTGGCCCAGTTTTACCATCAGCACAGGAATGGCGAGAGCGCCCCCTGCAGGTGAAGGTGTGAATGTGCAGCAGATGTGTGGGGTCAAAGGGACGGATGTGTAAGGACTTCTCAGTCTCTTCTTTCCAGTTGAGTGACCTTGGGCAAATTGCCCAAGGGCCTTGAACCTTGGGGTCCCCCTCTGTATAACAGGCTGAAATTAATACTTACATCATAGGCTGCTGTGCAGACTAAATGAGATAATGCATTTCAAGCACTTAGCATAGTGCCTGGCCCTGTAAGCACTCACTGGGTGCTATTAAGACATATTCGGTTCACCAGGTTGTGATAAAGACAGAATGCATGGGAGGGTGTTTTATAAAGTAAAGTCCACAATACATTAGCTATTGTTTTATCAGGGCCATGTGTTTTGTATATTCTCATGCTAATAGTATTCAAAATGTTTTTTTTTTAATGTCATAAAGGTTTTCTGATGCACACACATCATGGGAGTGCTTACCCAGACTGTGAACATATGAATATTTGTGTGTGCATACACGTACGTATTGACCTAACAGGTACTCCCTGCCTCTCCCCAATGCATTAGAGTCTCCTGGGCCAGAATGCCTTTCATTATGGGCCACCGGGGTTTTCTGGAATCCTTGCTTAATTTTTTAAATGTTTATTTATTTTTGAGAGAGAGAGAGAGTGAGTGGGGGAGGGACAGAGAGAGAGAGAGAGGGAGAGAGAGAGAGAGACACATATAATCCCAAGCAGGCTCTAGGCTCTGAGCTGTCAGCACAGAGCTGGATGTGGGGCTCGAACCCACAAACTGTGAGATCATGATCCGAGCTAAAGTCGGCCGCTTAACAGACTGAGACCCCTAGGCACCCTTTGCTTGATTTATTTTTTAAGTTCTATTTATTTATTTTGGGAGAGAAAGAAAGCATGTATGTGGGGAGGGGCAGAGAGAGAGCGAGACAGAGAATCCGAAGCAGGCTCCATGCTATCAGCACAGAGCCTGATGCAGGGCTTGAACTCATGAACTGTGAGATCATGACCTGAGCCAAAGTTTTGGATGCTTAACTGACTGAGCCACCCAAATGCCCCTGATTTTTAAAAACCTGTTTCCTGAGACTGTATCCGTTATGCAAAATGACTGACTTACTGTGGAGAGGAGCAGTAAAATCTGTGATTATGAAAGGAATGGACGTTATCAACAGAGACCAGCTGGGCTTGTCCAAATATAGAGAAAAATAGTACAACAATAGTTATTAAGTGAATATAGAAAGGAAAGCATTAGAAAGCTTTCTATGTAAGACAGAGCTGCTAAAAGTCATGGCTAAAAGACACGAAGGACCGGTATACCGAAAGACAGAAATTATTTATCTATAAGGTTGCTACCCAAACAATGCTCGAAGGAGAAGGGGACAGAGAAGAATAACAAGTAGATGCTTACAGCAGCTCCACAGCTCGCAAAGGGCTCCCATACATGCAGTCTCTTGGCTTCTCTTAGGAAGTCTGTGCCTTCCAACTCCCTTCCTTATACTGGTTACCTCCATCACAGGAAGCAGCCTTGTCTGTCTAGCAATGAATGAGACACGCCGGCAAAAATAAACAACAGTTGTTAAGACCGATGTTGTCAGGGATGTGGAGAAGAGGGCATGGGGACAGATTTCTAGTTGCACTGTGGATCTGTTCCTTTTTTTGCTGGAGAACAAACTGCCAAAATCACAATAAAAACACTCCAAGGCGGGCGCTTGGGTGGCTCAGTTGGTTGAGCATCTGACTTCAGCTCAGGTCATGATCTCTCTGGTTGGTTAGTTCGAGCCCCCACATTCGGACTCTCCGCTGTCAGCTGCAGAGGCCTCTTCCGCTCCTCTGCCCCCTCTCTCTCCGCCCCCCCTCTCCAAAACAAACATTAAAAAAAAAAAAAAACAACCAACACTCCAAGGGAGTAATCTCAAAAGAGAAACAGATTTGCCAAAAGGCAGTCCCAGAGGCACTGCGCAGTGAGAGATCTGAAACAATACAAATGCCCAGCTGAGGAGGCGTGGCTAATAAACGGTGTTCTAACAGTAAAAATAATCACGAGTTAGAAGCACAGATCACAAAATGGTCCGTGCCCGCTGGTTATAACTGTAGACCAACATGTAGGTACATGAACACACCCTGCGAGAATTTGGAAGGAGGCAAACAGAGTTAGTATGTATTAGGCTTCATAATTGCTTTTTAAAGGTGAAAGATTTGTCTCCTTAGAGGGCCTTCCAAAGAGGGGTAGGTAGAGAACTGTTTTGAGCCCGGACAGCAAGGACAAAGTATCCTGAGTGGATTCCTTTGGAGGGCCCCCTCCTCACTGGAAATGAAATCTGGGTGATTGCTGATGAGAACAGGACATTATGTTTTCCTTACAGTGTGTGCGCGCGTGTGTGCGTGCGCGAGCACGCGCAAGCTCACACAGATACCAGAAGGCTGCAGCTGTCCTTGGTGCAGGGTGAGCTGAGCCCCGGAAGCCCTCAGTGAGAAGAGGAATTTAGTTCATTGTTATGGTCCTGTCAGCCTCATAGGGTTTCCTGACACCCAATCTTAGACCAAGGGTCAACAGGTCCGTGGGGCACAGCTCTTAGAGGGCTCTATTACCTCTACCCTTGGATTAGGGTCCAGCTTACCCATCCTTCTGAAGTTTGCTTACTCCCCCCCACTGCCCCCCTGCCCAGCATGCAGGTCCACTTCCCCTCCACTGCTGACCTCTCAGCATCTTCCTTGCTTAGGGGTGCACTTGGGGGCAGGCAGAGGTAGGAATTAGTGTCCGTGCGGGCACACCCTGGGCACTTGGTTAGTGTCTTCATCTTCCTCTGGGTCATCCAGCCACCTTAACTGGGCCAGGCCCTGGGCAAGGGACCCAGGGCACACCTGCCCCCTCCAGGACCCCACAGCCCAGCGGGGGAGCAGGGAAGGGAAGAGGATGACTTTTTTCAGTTCCCTGTGAAAGCAGCCAGGTCAGACAGCCACGGAACAGAAGGGCCAGTCCATCTGTCTGGCTGCAGGGGCTCACTGCTCAAATCCCCTGAGACAGGCACTCCTGGTGAAGGCAGAGCTGGAAGAGGAGCTCAGTGCCCCCCTTCTAAAGGCTGCTGGTGGCCCAGCGGCTTGCTGTTCTGCAGAAAATGGGCCCAGAGTTCCCAGATCTTCATGTTAAACGTCTGAAGCTCCATGTTTATATAGAATGGCTTTTTAAAAAGCACATACTGGGGCACCTGGGTGGCTTAGTCGGTTAAGCGTCCGGCTTTCAGTTAGGTCATGATCTCGCGGTTTGTGGGTTCGAGCCCCGCGTCGGGCTCTGTGCTGACTGCCAGCTCAGAGCCTGGAGCCTGTTTCGGAGTCTGTGTCTCCCTCTCTCTCTGACCCTCCCTTGCTCACGCTGTCTCTCTCTCTCTCTCCTAGAAATAAATAAAAATATATATAAAAAAAAAAAGCAAGATGATTTCATAAAAAAAAAAAAAGCACATATTGTGTTAACACTTTGTAAGCCAAACCCATTTTGCAGGACGAATATGGCCCACAGTCCTTTTGAGACCTCGTTTTGGGGGTGGGAGAGTGGGGAGGCGGCAACGGCAGGCTTGAGCGGGCAGGTGGTGGCTCACCAGCCTCAGAGCCCCAACCTGCTGCTCTTTCTCCCGGCCTCTCCCCTTCTCCCCACTCGAGCCCCACTCCCACCTCTGGTCATTCCCGTCATCACTTCCAGGCCACTAGATGGCACCATGAGCTCAGCGTCACCCAATGGCTGAGCACACCTGGGTCCCCAAGTCCCCAAAAGCCAGCCCTGCAACCCCACTGTCATGAGCCACCCTAGGGACTTCTGGTCTTTTTTTCTTTTCTCTTAGAGTTTTTATTAAGTCAAAAAGGCCCCCTTTTATGTCAGGTTCATTCTGTTTTACACCAGCACTCCCCAAAAGAAACGTAATACAAACTATGTTTTTAGTTTTTAATTTTCTAGTAGGCATCTTTTTAAACAGTGAAGAGACGAAGGAGGCGACAGTAATTTTAATAATGTTTCATTCCACCCAGTATATCAACAATATTATCACTTCAATATGTATCCAACGTGCACAATATTGGTGAGATCATTTACATTCCTTTTTTATTCAAAGTCCAGGGTGATTTATACTTCCAGCACATTTCAGTTTAAGCTAGCAACATTTCAGGGGCGCCTGGGTGGCTCAGCTGGTTAAGCCTCTGACTTCGGCTCAGGGCATGATCTTGAGGTTCATGGGTTCAAACCCCACATCCCGCTCTGTGCTGACAGCTCAGAGCCTGGAGCCTGCTTGGGATTCTGTGTCTCCCTCTCTCTCTGCCCCTCCCCTACTCTCTCTCTCTATCTTTTTCTCTCAAAAATAAGTAAAACATTGAAAAAAAATAAAATGCTTAAAGTAGCTACATTTCAGGGGTTCAGTAGTCATTGGCTAGAAGCTATGGAATTTTCTGGCTGGGCAGCTGTTGGCCCCGTGGAGGACCTGAGTCCCTTGATCCCAGGGTCTGCTTCTGGGCCATAACATGGAATTATGTCCAAGGTGGACACTGACTTAGAGTTTAGGGGTCTCAGGCACCCAACTTACCACCCTCTGCAGGAGGTCTCATATTTAAAAAGACAGCACATTCCCAGAAATTCCTGGACCAGGGAACTGAGCTCACTCTCCCTACCCCACTGAGATGAGAAGGAAGCCCCACCCCCCTTCGCATGAGCTCTCTCACCCACGGCAGAAAGCAACAATCTCACTGCCCTGGAGGCCCACATTTTAGAAATAGCAATAGGTTTCTTTTATGGAGCAACAATTCTTAATTTAATGTACTCAAATTTATCAAACTTGAAAATGTGCCCCAAAGCCATTCAACACTGGTTTTGAATCTCATTGGCCCCCAGGTGCCTTTTCAGCTCCCCAGCCTCCCGCTCAGCCCTTAGCATGTGGCTCTCCCTCCTGCCTGTAGCCTGCTCTTCCCTCTGTCTGCCAGTCACACGCCCTCCACCACCTTGTCCTAGCCCTTTCTGGAAGCAGCATTTCTGAAGCCGGCCTGAGACACAAACCCAAGCTCTTTCTTTCCGCTAAAATGACTCATCTTGCTCCGAACCAGAGCCTGGATGTGGGGATCTGGATAAGGGATCGACGTCTGGAGGAGATACAGTTTGGGAGGAGTGTCTTTCCATCTCTGGCCTCACTTTTCTCATCTGTGGTATCAAAGGATCTGAACTCTACAACCTCTGAGAGAGGAGTGGAGAGAGTGGAGAATAGCAAAGGAGGCTGAAACAGACGGAGAACGAGAGGGAATGAAAAAAGACAAGAGACCATAGGAATCAGAGAGGACAGGCGACCAGGACTGATACCTGCAGAGCTGGAGTCTGCCCCCGGAGCTCCTGAACAGAAATATCTTTGCTGCTCTTTAAAAGCACCCCAGAGGGTGTCTGGATGGCTTAGTGGATTGAGTGTCCAACTCCTGATTTCAGCTCAGGTCACGATCTCACAGTTTGTGGGTTCGAGCCCTGCATCAGGCTTTATGCTGACAGCGTGGAGCCTGCTTGGGATTCTCTCTCTCCCTATCTCTCTCTGCCCCTACCCCCACTCGTTCACACTCTCTCTCTCAAAACAATAAATAAACTTAAAAATAAATAAATCAGGGGCTCCTGGTTGCCTCAGTCGGTTAAGCATCCAACTTTGGCTCGGGTCATGATCTCACGGTTAGTGGGTTCGAGCCCCGCATCAGGCTCTGTGCTGACAGCTCAGAGTCTGGAGCCTGTTTCTGATTCTGTGTTTCCCTCTCTCTCTGACCCTCCCCTGTTCATGCTGTCTCTCTCTCTCTCTCAGAAATAAATAAAACATAAAAAAAATTTTAAATACTTAAAAAAAAATAGATCAGAGCACCCCCAAAAAGCTCTGATGGGCATGAGATGGAAGCCACACTTTCTCCCTGATACCCCTCCACCCCACCCCTCGGTGAGGTGCTCAGAACCCATTCGGGCAGGATCCTCCCGTGATGGTGCTCAGCCTTCCCTCTCCTCCTGGATCCAGGAGCCAGGCTGTGGCCTGAGCACCTCTGGGGGTTGGAGGTCAGGGTGGAGGTGGGATGCCAGAGGCCCAGGGCCCAGCGTGTCCCAGCAGATCAGAGGGAGTGCACAGATGGGAGGAAGTGGAGAAGACAGAGACTCAGTTTCCCAGGACAGTTGAAGACATACCCTTTTTGTGAGCCACTTCGTCCTTTCCCCCCATCCAGAGCCCCCAGCCCAGAGAAGCAGGTTCTTCGGCTACAACAGAAACCAGAGGCCTACCCAAGTCCCACTGGGCTGGGCTGGGCTGGGGCGCTGCTGCTGGGTGGCTCTCAAGGGAGAGGGGAATTGAAAAGGAAAAGCATCTTGGAGGAGGGTGGGGAGAGAGGGAGGCTGTGTGGTGTACTCTCTCTCTCTCTCTCTCTCTCTGTCCTGGACTTAGCCTAAGCCTCACCCAAGAGAGGAGTGTCTTCTCTCTGCTCTTGGAGCTGCTTTCTGTCACTTCCCCGCCCATCTGTGCTGTCAGCAGCACCAGCAAAGTTGGCCTCAAACTTGAACGGAGCTGAAGGCTCCGGCTTCCCGGGGCTCCGCGGGGGGCACCGGACAGACCGCAGCCGCTGAACTGGTGGCTTGCCCCGAGAGGTCGACCCTCCCAGGCTCCAGCTGGCCCTTGCTCCCGTGGGTGACCCTTCCACCCCTGACCTGTGGGCCCCCAGTCTGGGCCGAAGAATGGTGTGCTGAGGTTCCTCTGGAGCCGATCGTCTCAGCCTGGAGCTGGAGCAACCCAAGGCCCAAGCGAACATGGCCAACCCCGCACAGCCTCAGTTTCCCTCAGCCCGGGAGCCAGGCACTGCCTCACCCACCAACCTGCCGGAGATGGAGAAGCTCCTCACTAAGGTGGAAGGCAAGGATGACAAGCCACTGAAGCTGTCCAAGTCCCTCTCGGGGGCCCTGGACCTGGAGCAGAATGGCCATGGCCTGCCCTTCAAGGTGGTATCCGAGGGGCACCAAGAAGCCACAATCCCCTGGCCGACCTCTCGGGCTGGCTCTAGGCGGGCATCCTCCGTTGCCACCGCCTCCTCTGCCCAGGACCAAGAAGTCCCCAAAGATTACCTCATCCTTGCCATCACCTCCTGCTTCTGCCCCATCTGGCCCCTCAACCTCATCCCCCTCATCTTTTCTATCATGGTAAGTGCTGCTTTGTTTCGGGGCAGGGGTAAGGCCAAGTACTCAGCATGCATGGTGCTCTAGGAGGCACCAGACACTCTGTCTGGGTGCAGAGAAGGGAGAGCTGGGGGCCGGGGGCTTGGGGGAAGACTTACCTTCTCACCTGGCCTGCCACTCCCCCATCAGAGAGGGGGCCGGGGACAAGAGACCTTCTCTTTGCTCTCCTCTCTCATCTTTGCTGCTCAGCATCACAGATTGACCTTGTACACATCCCTGCTGTGGAGGGGATCCCAGGGAACCGCCTGGAGCTAAACTCTACACAACAGAAAGACAGCTAAGTTCGGGGGGAGGGGGGTTGCCTTTTGCAGGGGTGTCCCGAGGAGTCATCCTGAGTGAGGCAGTGTATCAGCAGAGGTGGTGGCTAGCATGGGGTCTCGGGACCCTGAGTTTTCAGGAGAGGAGCCAGCTGCCCCCACCCCCCATCCCAGGTCACCTGGGTATTCTAACGGCCTTTGCCAGCTCTGGTTTCCAAGAGCCAGTTGTGGCTTCCCTGCCCTGCACCGAGGGCCCTGGGGCCTGGGTCCCCTGAGGTTGCTCCTCTGGGGGGGCAGTGTTGTTGCTGGGGGCCCTCTGGGCTTCGGTGGTTACACTGATTTCAGCATCTGTCTTCAGGGTAGGGGAAAATGCGTAAAAAATGTGGGGGTCAGAGGGCATGGCCAGCCTTGCCAAGGAGGAGTGTGTGGCTAGTCTTTGCTTCTCGCATGCTCGTCCCGTAGGGTTTTGAGTAAATTGTCATAGGTTGTCCCCAAACTGAGCCGTTTGGCTAGAGCTACTGATGGGAGATGCATAGGAAGTGTCAGTGCATGTTGGCAAGTGACTCAAATTTGAGGTCCAGGAAGAGGAGGGAGGGAGGGAGGGAGAGAAGCGGGTGAGAGAGAGAGAGACTGAGCAGGCAATAACTTTCAGAATGAAAAAAAAGGCAAGCAAGCAAGCAGGGATAGTAAACTACCAGCTCCAGGCTGGTCACGGCGGGAGGACTCTGTGCGGAGACACTGTCTGCTTCCCTCTAGAGCGACTCCACTGCTGAGTCATCCATCACAGCGTATCTTCAGGAGCTGTGGTCACTCTGGCCCCCACCCCCACCCCGGGCTGTCCTCTGAGGAAACCCCTATTCCTCAAACACCTCCCACCACTTCACTAAGGCCCAGTGTCTGGCTGGGGATGCCTTCCCTGATCCCCCATCAAATCCAGCACCACCCACCAGGACAGGGGACACTGGTAGCATTCCTGAGTGCCAGGCTGGGCATGGGCACAGGAGCCAGGGCTGAGCAGGGCCCAGGGTGGGGCCTCTGAAGAGCTTCCTGTCCTGCCTGCTGTGGTTGGGGGCAGCTGGGGGGCAGAACCAGGCCCTAGGGGTGCAGCCTGGGGATTCTGGGCGGGGCTGACCTCTTGGTTACAGGAAGAAGCCCCAGGGGTGGGGGGATGGGAAGACAGGTTTCAGGCAGGGAACCCACACAAGAGCCCAGGAGAAAATAGTTGTTAGAATCCATCTTCTTGCTGGGTGGACACTGCCTTTACCAAAAGAAATCTGGGGTCCAAGACTGTGAGACCACTGACTCTGCCCTCCCCAACCCAGGTACATTTCTACATCCTTCTCAGGCTCCCGAGCCAGTTCTGAAGGTCACTGGGCCAGGGGCAGGGAATCCGGTGCTAACCCAGACACAATCACCAATTCCCAGGAGCCTCTGGTCCAGTGGGGAGAAACTTGCAAACAGATCCTATAACACATTGCAAGAAGTACTCAGGCTAGACGAAACAGCGAGGCACCGTGCGGCCTCGGGCAAGTCCTTCGAATCTCTCTTCTCGGTGTTCCCACCTGCAAAATGCGTATCACGGAACACCTACATCAGAGAGCTGTGAGGACGAAGTGAGAAGAACCGCACAACGTGCTTAAGAACCCCACCCAGGACACAGTAAGTGCTATGACACGGCAGCAGTGATTAAGTGGCAGCTGAGTGTCTCCCTGGCCAGGGATGGGAAGCCATCACGGGATATTTGTTGGTTTCTTTTTTAAAGCTTTGAAATATAATACACATATCATACAATTCACCTATTCAAAGTGTACAATTCAGAGATCTTTAGCATACTCACAGATAAGTGCAGCCGTATCCACTGTCAGTTTTAGAACATTTTTCTCACCTCCAAAAAACCCCCATGCCTTATTTATCACTCCCTCTCTGCCTTGCTCCCTCCCTCAGACCTAACAAACCACTAATCTTTCAGTCTCTATGGATTTGCCTCTTTTGGACATTTCATATCAATGGAATCGCACAGCACGTGGTCCGTTGGGACTGGCTTCGAGCTCCCCCCAGACTGCCGCATATACATCCCAGCATTTGAGGAGGAGGGGATGTGGTTGGGTTTCCAGTTTGGTGCCTGAAGAGAGAAGGGGCGGAAGGGCCCCTCTGAGCCTTGCAGTTGGGAGAGGGAACCTTTGCAGGAGCACAGGTGAGCGGTGAAGAGGCTGGAGCAGGGCCATGGCAAGGGGCAGAGAGGATTTCTAGAAACCTAAGAGTTGTTAATGTAGACCACGTATTCATTCAGCCAACCATGTGCTTGACTGGCAGGTTGTTTGTGTGGAGGAAACGAAGTGGTACAGAATGACTGGGTCCCTCATGAATGAATATGCCTCTCCTACAAACGCGGTGCATACTAGGTATTTGAGAAGATGGATGTCATCGTCTATTTGGCATGGCTCAAGGATGCAAGAGTATGGTGATAGAGGGAGGTGGGCAGGGACCCGCTGTAGGAAATTAAGTTTTATCCTAGTGGCTCTGAGGAGCCTCTGAAAAATTTTAAGCAGAGGCATGATGTGGTCTGTTCATATTTTATTTTATTTTTTTTAAGAGAGAGAGAGAGAGTGGGGAAGGAGCAGAGGGAGAGAGAGAGAGAGAGAGAGAGAGAGAGGATCATAACAGACTCCATGCCCAGTGCAGAGACTGACTCGGGGGGGCTCAATCTCACCACTGTGAGATCAGGACCTGAGCCAACATCAAGAGTTGGATGCTTAACTGACTGAGCCACCCAGGAGCCCCCGGTCTATTCACATTATAAAACAAACAACCAAGGGCATTGTGGGAAATGAGCCAGAGCAGGCAGGGCTGGGAGCTGGAAGACCCCATAGGAGGCTCTTGAGATAGTCCAGGCAGGATGATGAAGGCACAAGCCAAGCAGTGGCTTAGAAAGGAAGGCGCCAGTGTGAGATTGTTGAGGAGAGATCAGCTGCACCCACTTCCCAGTCCTGGTTATCCAACTCAAAACTAGGGCAGCTGTCTTAGAGCTCTGGGGGCTGCAGCATCTAAGTGGTGGGCAGAGGGAGTGGACTGGAAAGAGTTTTGAGAAGAAGAATTCAGGAGGCGGGGGGCAGGCTAGAAGAGAGGGACAGAGGCCCTGGGAGGAGCGAGTTTGAAGCAGGTGGGATGGTCAAACTCAGTACAGAGATCAGGTCCAATTAGGATGGGGGCGTCCACTGGCTTGGCCAGATATAGACCCCTGGTGACCCTCGTGATGGAGAGCGTTGAGCAGAAAAGAGACAGGTGACTGACGAGGTCCACAAAGAGTGCAGATTGGGATCCTGAAGGACCCTGTCCCCAGGAGCCTGCAGGAAAAGTCACGAGGGCAGAAACAGATAGAAATCCTCAAAGGCAAAGGAGCTGGCACATGCTGTGTGGGCTCCATGCCACCAAGGACGTGGAGGGCAAGACCATTGGCTGAGAAAGAAGGGCCTAGTGGCAGGGGAGAGGAGAGGTGACAAGGGACAGAGATGTCAATGGCCTGAGGGCTCTGCTGAGGCTGGAGACCATCAGTCTGAATTATCAGCCTGTGTGGTGGTGTGTCTCTTCTCTAGCTATAGATACAGAGTCACAGATGGGACGCTGGGCCTGCTCAAGGTTGGGGATGGCAAAGTCACCATGAGGGCAGACCAGGGGGCACAGAAGATGCCGGAAGGGTGGCAGAGGTAGTACATTGAAGGATCAGGCTGGATGGAAGGGAGTAAGGCTGGGAAGATGGTGGTGACCTTGGAGGAGAGGGAGGGGTCACAGGCTCAAAGAAGTTAAGGGCAGGTATTGTGAGAGAGAGGCCGAGAGACAGAGATAGCGGGGGCCGAGGTTTCATAGGAGGGGCCATGCAGGGTGGTGGCGAGATGGAATGTGTAGCCGTGGAATGAATTTCCAAAGAGAACCGTGAGAAGCCAGCAGGAAGGAGCCCACAGGAGCCCATGTTAGGGGATAATGTCATTTACTAAATGTGAGACACAGGTCCAAATTCATCACATATAAAATCTCATTTAACTGGGATTCTATAACCCTATGAGGGCTAGATATTGGCATTAGCTGAGAAAACTGGAGCAGAGGCGTGACAGAACCTTCTGGTCATTGGAGAACCCAGGACCGGATGGATGCCCAGAGCCAGAGCTGGGGTTCTAGGCATTATGCTAACCTGCCTGGGGGGGGTGGTAGTTAACAGGGGAGAGTTGTCTCCCCTCTCTGGAAGCCAGTCTAGTTCAATTGTTCCTGGATCTCGAGGCCCCACCCAAGCAGCAGGGGTGAAGGAGGGACAGAGTGCGTGGGCAGGTAGGCCTCCTGTGTTGACATCTCTAGGTCCTGGGACAGACATCAGAACTCATCTGAAGTCCCGCCCTGGCTACCAAGTGAAGCCCTTGAGCCCAGGGTGGAAGGAGCCCCACAGCCCCGACAGCCTCTCTAGAGCTATTGTCCGCAGAGCCTGCCCTAGTATGAGGCTCATCGAGTCTCGTAATTGTACTCATGTAACAACACGGGCAAACAAGACACGTGAACAGAGCCTTGCCCACGGTCGCACAACTGGTAAGAGGCATGTCAGCGGGGTTCTCTCCACGACTCCACCCGGCCTCCAGCTACCTCTGGGACAAGGATGGTGTGTCCCTCCCAGGAAACCACATCTTTGAGGCGTTTGTGCAGGGAGGGAGAATCCACTTCCTG